CCCACTCCAAGGTTTCCATTGATTAGCAGAGAAATAAACAGAAATGGCTGAAGCGATACTGCTCAAGACAAGAGATGGTCGCTGAGTGGGATGACTGCTCTTGTCACCGGAGCAACCAGAGGCATTGGGTTAGTTATCAGTTACTTCCATTTGGTTCAAAAGTTCTTTTCTATTTAATTTGGTCTGAGCATTTTCTATTACTGATTTATGTTCCTTGAGTTTGAAATAGGCATGCCATAGTAGAAGAATTGGCAGAATTTGGAGCAGTTGTGCATATATGTTCTCGGAACCAAGCAGACATCGACAGGTGTTTGACAGAGTGGAAAAGCAAAGGATTTAGTGTCACCGGATCAGTCTGTGATGTACTCTCTCGTCACCAACGTGAAAATTTAATGGAAACTGTTTCCTCCATTTTTCATGGAAAGCTCAACATCCTTGTAAGTTTCTCTCGTTTAGCGTCTGTCCGTCTCTGCTCTTTTCCTTCCATTCGCTTCTTCCTAATCTTGTTTTTGTTGTATTTGTCATTGTAATAACTCTAAGGAAGAGTGGAGGACTTGGTGATAATTTACTAAACCTGTAACTTCTGTATGCAAGCGATGATCTCATATTTCTCTGCTAAATTTCTGTTGGATCCGAGACGAAGCCACATGAAAATATGTGTGAATTTGATCCTATGTCCAACTAAAGAGGCATTCTGTTAGGTTCTAGAATAAGAATTGGCCTGGGAGAAGGAAGAGAGGGAAAAGAACAGATGAGAAGGTAGAACAGAGATGTGTGATAGAAAGAGCCTAGAATCAGCATTTGAAATCCTAGGAGAGAAGAAGAGGGAAATTCCTTAATAATATATTTTCATTCATACCCTAATGTCATCATACAGTAGACTTAAATAGGCTGAAAATGTGATTGAAAATAAATGACTAATAACTTCCTGATAACCTCCTATATTCTAAAAAAAAGATTATCAGTAACTGACAATATCGGGAGCACCCAAACTGGTTCTACCAATAACTAGTATTTAAATAACCCCACTGTAATACTACATCTGTTTCTAATTATAAGAGCTAGCTGACTAATTTGAGGAGATTAAGAAAAAAGTTAAGTTAGTTATTTGTAATAAATATGTATTGTCTTTTCTAAAATATCCTTACTAATCAAATATATTGGTTAGAACTACCATTATTAGAAGGACTATCTTAGAAAAAAATACATAAATATAAGAGACAAAGTGAACTAGGTTTTATATTTAGGACTAAAATAAAAATCAAACAAGATCTTCTATTAAGGACAGGAGGTAGTAGTCTGAAAGGATAACTGAAATATAAAACCACCCAAAACTGAAGATTAAAAATAACTAATTTGTACTACCCCTAACATTGGACTCTAACATTCAAAATTCTTTTCTCGCCTAAATTTGACCCAGAGAAAATTTTAAGGTGAAGTTTCAGCCCAAGCTTAAACATTTTTTGAGTTTCAGCACTACTTCTATGCTTCTGTAATGGAGTTCTGTGAATGGATTTTTATAAAAACAGACTACAAGAGCTATGTTGATTCGTTAACATTTTCAAAGTTTCAATCGGTCGTTTACAAGATCATATTCTTTCCTGAATGAACCATTTTCCATTGGACTTCGTTAAGATGTTTTCTGTTAGATAAACAATGCTGCCACAGTGATAGCCAAAGAAAGCACAGATATACTGCTGAAGATGTATCAACTATAATGCAAACCAATTTCGAGTCAACTTACCATTCGAGCCAACTTGCTCATCCCCTTTTAAAAGCATCAGGATATGGTGCCATAGTAAATATTTCCTCTCTTGCGGGTTTGAAAGCTTTTCCTAATGTTTCAGTCTACGCAGCATCTAAAGGTAAATCTTCTTTTCTCCCATCAATCATCTGAGAGGTAATCCAATTCTATCAGATAATTGGATATTTTGACTGATACAAAATCTGCGCACACATAATAATTTGATTCAGGAGCCATAAATCAAGTCACCAAGAACTTGGCTTTGGAATGGGCAAAGGATAATATTCGTGTCAATGCAATAGCACCCGGAGCCGTGATGACCTTACTTTTAGAGGCTTGCATGGTATAAACATTAAACGCAAACCTGTATAAGCATCAGGCAAATCAGTTTCCTGCACTTGCATTCCTCATTTACTTTGGATTTCTTGCATACTGCTATATATATATACTACTACATTTATATGTACTTTGCCACGTATTTATATATCAGGTCATAGTATTAATTAGTGAGACTTGGAACTGCTTGTAATGTGCATTGTAATTTGTCTTTTAGGAAAAATCAAGAGGAGAGAATGCAGCAGATGTGATAGCATCGGAAATTCCTGTTGGTCGAATTGGAGAACCTAAGGACATTTCAGCTATAGTTGCATTTCTTTGTCTGCCTGCTGCCTCATACATCACTGGACAAGTCATAAGTGCGGATGGAGGCCAAACAGTTTAAGAAGTTTAGTATTCTGGTCACATGTCAGCCAGAATAAAATTGTCTGTTTTTCAGTCTTCAACCCTTATCTCTCTGTTACTGATTTGGAGATTTTCGTTGACTAAGTTGTTTTAAGCCGACTCATGGATGAAGAATTTTCATTAATTTTCTTTTTTCTGCATTATTAATTTATTATCCGTTCATCCCTATCAAGCCAGAATGCTTTAAGGGACGTACATGGAATGAAACCACTTTGTCTCACACGGATGGGTCTTTGAGGAAAGTGTGAGGATTGTTCTGAGATGTGAACTCCAATCACAGGAACAATAATTGACCCGAAAAAGAAGAACCTTCAATTGCGGCGCAGGAATATGCTGAGAGTGGAGAACATGAGCAGCATCATTTCCCACTTGATAACAGAATTTAGTATGCAGTTGAAAATAATGGAATTTATGCACTTCTGTGATATTTATATTTCTTTTTGGTTATAATTGATTTCCCTCTTATTACTACTCAAATACTTAATGGAAGACTTAATTAACTAATTTGAATAGATTAAGGATGCTAGTTAAATAGTTGATACTACTATGATCCTAAATGATTATTAATGATACTACTCGTATCGTTAATATAAGATTTAATTAATTAATTTGAATAGATTAAAGAGATTAGTTAAATTATTTGATATGATATGTTTTTTTAAAACACCCTAATTATCTTCCTTAATTCTCTCCTTTTTTCCTACTTGATTATTATGGAGGGAATATCAAGAGGGTTAATCTAGAAAAAAATAGTAAACATCTGAAATAAGTTTTACATGTAGTACTTACATAACTCTCAAATCAAGTCATTTATTCACAAGAGAAGTATGATTTAGAAACCACATATATCTTCTTCATGCATATGAGTACTAATTAAGAAAATTTACTAACCCAAAACTCAATTTGGTACAAAAATGATCATGAATTATATGTCAAGATTTATAGAAGGGAAAATTGGAGATAAATTTCTCATTAAAAATTTAATTGACAAATAGGATGTAAGTACTTTGGTAACTTAATTTTTATTGTTTGCAATTTAACTTTCTTTATGTGCAATTTTTTTTGGGTGCAATAATCTTCCTTTGTGCGATATGTAACTCAATTTTTTTTTGTGTAAATAAAGTTCTCTTATGTGCAAGTTGTCTTCCTTATATACACCAATTCATTATATCCAAATAGTTTTAACAAATTATTTTCTCTTTATATAATTTACCTTTTTTGTGCAATCAATCACCCTAAAAACTATTTACTAATTAAATTTGTAAAATTGTTTGTTTTTTAATTTTTTCCCTGACAACGTTGGGCTTAGCAACAACACCACCGGCGGTCACCCGCATCTCCATCTGGGCCTCACCGCTGCCTCTTCCCTCTTCATCTCCCCCACGATTAGGGGTGGAAATAGGCCAGGTCAGGCCAGGCTTTGCTCTTAACAGGCCATGCCTGTTTTGAAGCCTATTGGCCTGAGCCTGGCCTGTGGCCTGTTACAGGCTTACTTTTCAGCCTGAGCCTGGCCTGTATAAAGGCCTGGCCTGGCCTGAAGCCTGTTAAAATGCTGTATTTTTAAAAAATTCAAATTATAATAATTTATTTTTAAAAAAAGCTAAGATAAAAAAAAAACGTATATAATAATTTAATTTTTAGTCTTATCTTTTATTTAAATTTTAGTATCATAAGTACTATTTTAAATCTTAATTATAATTTATAAGAATATTATTGAAAACTAATTGTAATTATATGTTAAAATTTGGAATAAGACTACGTTTAAGTACACACAAAAAATTAAAATTAAGACAAATAATAAAGAGGAAAAAAATACTAATTTTATAATGAATAAAGAGGGTATCATACTAAATTAAATAATACGTAAGTTAGTTAATTTATCATTCTTGGAACCAAATTTTTCTTTCCTATTTTCTTTATTTTTTAGATTTAAAAATCACATTATTTATTGATATTATTATTTTAAATTATATTTTTATTCACTTGTCATCTAAACTTCAAAATTTAAGAAAAGATCAAGCTATTAACTATATATAAATTAAAAAATAAATTAAAGAGCACATTAACAATAATAGTATTAATTAATTTTTTTATATTATGATTATAAATTCCTGACAGGTCCAGGCCGGCCTAACAGGCTTAACAGGCTTTTTAAAAAGCCTAAACCTAGCCTATTTAACTAAACAGGCCTTCAAACAGGCCTGAGCCTGTCTTTTTTGAAAAACAGGCCAAACCAGGCTAGGCTAAATACAGGTCAAGCTATAGGCCCCTGACAGGCCGCCTGGCCTATTTCACCCCTACCCACGATCATCAACCTCCTCCCTAGGCTCCAGCGAAGTCTGTCTTCTCTGTTCCAATTCCCTCGTTAGATTGCTGACTGCAGAAAAGGTACCATTAACTTCTCTTCCTGCCGCTGTAGAATCAGAGACGGAGAGAGCTAAAAACTTGATAGGCTTGCTTCCACCGGAAGTTCAAGATATTATAAATATAGAATCTTCAAAATCCTTAGTAACGAGGCGACGCAGCTTCTTGTCTTCCAGGATTAGCAGTGGTGTTGTCAGAAGAAGGCGCTTTCAAGAGGCAGCAAGGCTCACCTGCAATGAAATCGCAATAAGAAATTAAGGTCCAACAAAGTCATTGTAGATTAGAAAAATGACACTTCTCGGCTTTGGTTTTTTTTACCCCCTACTGAATTGATCTTAGATGCATTTCTTTATATTTTTCGCGATCAAGTTTCTTTTTTGGCATTGCATTATTAAATAAGCCCGCTATGGATCAAACGGGCCCTTATTTTATTTTCTTTTAAGCGAGCACTTGAAATTTGGCCCTGCAGAGTCGAGTCGAGTCAATCCCTATTGCTAACTGAACGCAGGAATTTGGATGGATGGTCTATATTGTTTGAGAAATTGCATTTGATAGGCACACATATTCGACGATATGAATCCTAGGTCATTGCAAACGTTGGTTATGGGAACTGGAGTCATCTTGGGTGGGATTCTTACTCTCAACCTGGCTTCTACTGTTACTCTCAAGACCCTTCATCTTGTATCTGAGAAAAAACGGGTAAAAACTAGCTAAGATTCATGTCTTTCGGGAGTTTTTCTAACTGTTCCCCCTCCGGTTTTGATTTGCTTTTGTTCCCTTCACAAATGAGACGTTTGAGAATGTGGGTTTTGTGCAGAAAAAGGTTGCTTTGCCTTGCATGGCTTGTAGAGGGAAGGGGTTTTATATATGCAAGCTGTGCAAAGGAAATTCCACCATTGAATGGTCCCCTTTGTATGACCCTATTGCCATTAATCCTTGCCTTTGTCCTACTTGCGAGGGAAATAGGTTAGCTCTTTAATTTCCTGATTCCCTTTTCTTTTGCTTCTCCTTGATATGCAAATTTGCTTATTCCTATGTTGAATACTGGGGAAAGAATTTCCTCCATGTCTCACTATACTTGCTGAGTTCTGTAACGTAAGAAACAGATCATTTCATATCGAAAGTACTTCGACGCAATCCAATTATTTGGTGTCAAATTGATTAGAATTATAGAAAGTGATGATATAATCTTCTTCTCGTGGAAGAGTTAACGGTGGGATGCTGAGTTATAAAATTTGTCTAAATATTATCAGTGACCTCATGGCAAAGCTAACTCCTTGTGGACATTACTTAGACTCCTGTTCCCTGATAACTGATTTATGAATATAAACTGACTCTCCGAACGCTTAGAATTCAGTTAACTTGAAAGCTATGCTTTCTGTTGATTCTGTCGATGAATTTGAGATTAATGTGTTCTGCACCATCCTTTGTTATATAAACTGTTTTTGTTTTCCAATGGTTATACATGGTATTGCAGGGTGCAACGCTGTCTAAACTGTCTAGGAAAGGGCTACGATTGATCCGTTTAGACATGCTGCATTGTTTTATGTTCCAGTGGACGGTGATTTTCTAAGTGAGTGACTTGCCTTTAACTTGAAAGTTTATCCCTACTCAGTTACCTGTTGCCTATTCCTATGCCATGAAGACTCTATTTTGATATTTTCACTGTTTCTGTTTAAGGATTAAGGAAGCACCAAGCTCCGATGTTGGACAAACCTTCATTATGCACCAAATTCTTTACGTTAGATTAGTTTACCGAGGAAGATGTTCACACTATTGTCTGCAGTATCGTACTGTCATGATTGAACATATTTCTGTTTATGTATTGATTTCCTCAAGGTATGGCTTATTAACACGATCTCAATCTCCATCTCTCCTACTCTAATTTAACTTCCTCAATGAGGACCCGTTGTAATTTTTTCGGTGTTAAATTTTCTTACGCCGAGTGCTTCTTCATACACTGGAAATAGATAGTTGTTGTTTTTTTTTTTTATTCAAACGAGGGCTTACTTAAGGCCTAAAACAAACTAAGAGACTACCCTATAGAGGAACTCGGACCAAGAGCTTCTTTATCCACCAGCGATCGAAGGTTCTGTGGACGTGAGACCCAAAGGTTGGTGGAGGAGAACCCATGCCAGAGCATCTGCCAAAGAATTCTTTTGCCTAGATATATGCATCAAAGATAGTTGGTTCTTTTTTTTTTTGCCACAGAAAGGTAGTTGGTTCTAATTGTTACAAGCAACTGTCTTTTTTTTGTTCTGGCCTCGCTTAGCCCAACTAGCCAATTTTGGACAAGAAAACAAAAAAATTAATTGATGGAGTATTTCGCCCAAAATAAAAGTCTATGGGGTCTAAAACTAATTGTAGATGTTGAGGAGATAAATTCCAAAATGTTCTGAATGAGAGAAATCCTTTGTAGATATTGAGGAGATAAATTCCAGAATTTTCCGAATCAAAGAAATCCTTCGTATTATTATAGCCAGAAAAGCTGGGCCGTGGCGTTTCCAAAGATCCAAGGCATCATATCATATAACATCACCAAAGACTTTACAAGAGTTTGTTTCTTTCTATAATCGGCCTGCACTTGCATTTCGTGACTCATAATGTTTCGGTTAGCCAAGCTTTCACTATCACTGTCTTACCATGGTCTGGTATAATTTTTTTTTTTTCAAATTAAATCCTAGCCTGACGGCATACAATCGATATGAAAATTTATATGACAAAAAAGTGTTTTATATTCACACTGTGTTCTTCGAATATCATCAAACATATAGAAAGTGGTGAATGCTTTGTAAAAGGCATTAGTAATAAATTATAAATAATATGAAGCATATCTAGTATATAAATAAAATAATTAAATCAGGGAAGGATGCTAGAGTTTAAGAAAATTTGATGTTAGAACTAATGAGAAATAAGTTTGAACTTGAAGATTTCTTCCATCGATGTTGATTTACGAAGTATCTTACTCTTCTAGGATAACTTATGCGGTCCTAATACATTCTCCACTGTCGTCCAATCACTTGGAGATCCGAATCTACTGATCAGCATCAATAACACTATCACGGTGGTCCTGCTCTTGGAAGCCATTGTATTGTATTGTTTTGTCAAGATTCACCGTTGTCCACCCAAAAAAAGAAAAAAGCTTCACTGTTTCACTATAGTTTAGCGAATAGGGCAAGTGCAGTAAGGCTCGTTCCAACCACCACGTCAACTTTTTTGCAACTTGTCCACTTAATTTTAGTCACTTTCAAGCATTCATTTATAACCACATATATGCATCTTATGTTTGTTCATCTAAATATGAATACCACAAACACCTCACAGACACTTGTTGGTTTATCACCCCCTCCAAGGTTTGCATTGATTAGCAGAGAAATAAACATAAATGGCAGAAGCGGTACTCAAAGACAAGAGATGGTCGCTGAGTGGGATGACTGCTCTTGTCACCGGAGCAACCAGAGGCATCGGGTTAGTTATTAGTTACTTGCATTTGATTCAAAGTTTTTTCTATTTGATTTGGTCTGTGCTTTTTCTGATACTGATTTATGTTTGTTGAGTTGGAAACAGACATGCCATAGTGGAAGAATTGGCAGAATTTGGAGCAGCTGTGCATATATGTTCACGTAACCAAGCAGACATCGATATGTGTTTGAAAGAATGGAAAAGCAAAGGATTTAGTGTTACTGGATCAGTCTGTGATGTGCAGTCTCGCGACCAACGTCAAAATTTAATGGAAACTGTTGGTGCCGTTTTTCATGGAAAGCTCAACATCCTCGTGAGTTATATATCTATGAAATCATGTTTTCTTCTATGCGTAGCAGAAAAAGATATATTTAGTTATTTTTATAAGTGGGGAATTGACTTTAGTCTCTACTAGTTATCCTTATCTTTGAGACATGATCATGTTTTAGTGGATTTCATCCAGTGATTTCGTTTTAGATAAACAATGCCGGGACAAGTGATGTTAAGGAAAGCCTGGATAACAAAGCTGAAGATATATCAACTATGATGAGCACCAATTTTGAGGCTACTTACCATTTAAGCCAACTAGCACACCCTCTTCTAAAAGCATCAGGAGATGGTGCTATTGTAAATATCTCCTCCATTTCCAGTGCCAAAGTGCTGCCTCTTGTTTCAGCCTATGCAGCTTCCAAAGGTAAATATACCTTCTTTTTCTCTCATCAATCGTCTGCTTCACCTCTGACTGATAACCTAATTACCTGAATACTTTGATACGACACCTGCAAATTTAATTTGATACAGGAGCCATAAATCAAATCACCAAGTACATGGCAAAGGAATGGGCCAAAGATAATATTCGTGTCAACGCAATAGCAGCTGGAACTGTGATGACCGTACTTTTAGAGTTTTGCATGGTATAAGCATACCAGTTTCCTGCACTTATGGTCCTCTATTATTTCACGGAAGCTTGCATGTTGCGGTATCTACAATTATATTTTAGTATTCTCATGTTGGGACTTGAGAGAGCATACATGCTGAGGAGATTATTTTAGGCATTATGTTTCACTTGATTTCAAGAGTATGCATGTAAATGAGTTTGGAACCACATAAAACTTCCCTTTATAGACTACAAACACTTTGCATTTGTGTTTCCTATTATTTCATGAAAGCTTGTATATTATTCTAATATTGTCATGTTGGGACTTGAGAGAACATTACCTGTCAAAGAGATCCTAATTGGGTTTGAACTCTAAGGCATTAGATTCAAGGGTCTTCTTCTTTATAAATTTAAATCCTCTCTTCTGCATGTTAAATTATGTTATCCAATGAGACTTGGTACTGCTTATGATTCCCGTTTTAACTTGTTTTCTCAGGAAAAATCACCAATGGGAGAAAATGCAGCAAATGCTTTTGCGTCCCAAATTCCTGCTGGCCGAATAGGAGAGCCTAAAGAGATTTCAGGAATGGCTGCTTTTCTTTGCCTTCCTGCTGCCTCATATATCACTGGACAAGTTATATGTGTAGATGGAGGTTTCACTCTTTAAGTAGTTTAGCCTCATTTGTAGTTGCTTCAAGTCAGCCAGAAACTCCTACCACATATCATATGTAGGAGCTGGCCATGCTCAGTCAAGTTCACATTAGAAAGCTGCTGTTTTGTTATGTTGACAGCGTTTGAATTTATATTTCTTCAGTAATGACTTTAGTATCCAGACCTCTTCTTTGTTTAATGAAAATGTATAGCCCTAATATCCTTATTCACATGAACCTTTCTTAGCTTAAAGATTATAAACATACTACAACCTAACCAAATTGAGAAAGACTTGTCTTCAGTGTCAAATGGCAAATAATTTGTTCCAGTGACTTAAGTATCCTTTAAAGGTTCGATGTATTAAAGAAAAGTGTAGCAGTTTGAGTCATTCTTTCATCTCTCTAAAGGGGATTTATATTTTAACTTTTATCGCCTTCTAAATCAACGATGATAAAACAATGCACTGCTGGCTGTGAAACCTAACAATCCAAAATCTGCTATGAGGTGATTGGTTTCATTCCATAATATGTTCCTAATCATAATCAATGTTAGAAGAGTTTATTTGCATTGTCTGAGAAATATGTTGTTTGAATTTCACTGTCACTATCTTTGGAGAGACACATCATACGGTTAAGTAACTGTAAACAACCATGGAACACTCTACTATTTATAATCACATGTCAATCATTATTCAAGTATTCTATCATGGTAATAAAGAATTTAAAACCCAAACAACAATGATTTTCATGGTAAAAAGTTTGAAAAACAATTTCAAACTGTTGGCCACAATAGAAAATAACAAAACTCAATATTTACTGCTATGAATAAAAAATGACTTGTGATTGCGAAACTCCACAACACACTATCATGGTAAAAAAGATTTAAACATGATAGAAAAGATTCAACGTAATTCAAAGTATGTCAAAAGTAGGCTAGGGCATGTTCGAGACACAATACAATAACTCACCATAATCTCACTAAAACAAAGCATGCATGAAGCTCATCTCACTGGACCTGTCTAAACATACCCATTTAGTCCAAACATTTCCAACTCAACTATAATCCAATTCATAACTCATAAAGCCATTCAAACAGAAACTGCTGGTCTCTTTCTTTCTCCCCCGCTCCCCTCCTGTGCTCTAGTGCAAAGATCAACTTCAAAGACGAAAGGCAGTTACAGAGTGGGAAGCGGTGAGGCCTAAGTAAGTTGTCACTTATAATTTTGAGAGCAATCTATCACTTGGTTTGTACTTCCAGACTTTAACTGATCTTTGTTCACACCCCTCACCTATCGACTACTTTTAATGGCTTCTTTTGTTTGATTCTTGGGCTAATACACATTCTCAAATTCCAGCTCATTGGCATTCTGAATTAGTTCCAAAAGAAATAGATACAAGAGAGAAAGTACTTCGATTTTCTTAGGTCTCTGTGTGCTCTTAGGAATCTATTTGATTATATAAAGCTGACATCACGTCCAATATCATAAGAGTCCATTTTTATCTCTGGACTATGGTCCTATGATCTTTCACTATGTTGCTAACTTCCAAATCCAAGTGATTATGATTCACAAGCAAGCATTTAATCGTCACCACATGTTTCCATCAATAATATTACAACTACCAGATGCTATGATCTTTGTAAACAAGTGGACGTGTTGATTTCCTCTTTCAACATCACAACCAGCTCAAAGAAAGTGCAAGTTTTTTTTCTGCTATACACCACAACTCTTAGGATTCCATTGTTTGGCGACAAGAGAAATGAGCAAACCAAAGTTGCTCTGCAAAGACAAAGGGTGGTCACTGAGTGGTATGACTGCTCTTGTGACAGGAGGAACCCGAGGCATTGGGTTAGTTATTACTTAAAGTTAATTAATAGTTATTCTTTATTGATCTTTACTTTCTGCTTTGGATTAATTTTTTCTGTCGAT